TTCTGACAAACCTGCTGCAGAGCGAATAAGAAAACAGGTGCTGCTTACTCTTTGGTTTCCCGCCCCCGGGGGTAAAGAGTAACACACCTGCAAATTCTTATTCCGTAGTGTTTCGGCTTTCCCCTCCACTCCCACCTCCAGTCGAACCACTTGGAAGGAAGAGAACGAATTCCAAGCTTTTCAAAAAACCAGCAGCGAGGTGAAAAAGAAACAATGCTGGTGTCCCTCAGGACCCGGCCAGGGCTTGGGGTGTGGCCCACCTGGTCGGGCGGGGACGGTTGTCCGGGAGCACCCCCTTCCGTGTGTTGTGGACCAGGGAGGGGGGGGACAATCAAATCGACTTCGGGAGTTTCTTTTTGGTTCCCAATTCTTTATATTTTCTGACAAACCTGCTGCAGAGCGAATAAGAAAACAGGTGCTGCTTATTCTTTATATATATATATATTATATATACACACATATATATATATATGTATAATTCGACAAGCACACTCATGACAAACGCGGGTTGAGTGCGTTCAAGTGCCTGTTTTCTTTTTTTTCAAATCTAAGGGCCGTATCTTGGAAACTCCCTCGACGGGTGATGTGACGCTCTTGCTCCAACGTCCGTCAACTAGAGTGTTGACTTTGAAACGCCCTGGGCTGCTTGGATGAAACACTGCTGGGCTTGCGGATGAGTAAGAAGTATAGTTCTTTTTCCCGTTCCTTTTTGACTAAGTAGGCGCCTACTTAATTAAGTAGGGAGTAAGCTTCTTGGTAGGACTCACGATAGCTCACGTTTTTTACAGGAAGCTCCCCCAGCCTGAGGGCTGGGGGGAGCCTCCTTGAAGAAGCGCTCACACTAATGATTTGGTTCCTAGACTTTTAGGGAAACTTGCTGTAGTGGGAGTTTGTTGGAACATTGACTTCCGTGTCTCCTGTGTTAGGTGACTTGCATGCTACGTGAAAGATTGTTCCAGTTGGAGGCAAGGCCATTCAGGAGGCATTTCATCCCTGCCACTTGCGAACCGAGAAGAAAAGCCACTTCCTGAGGAAATTGGGTATCATCGCCAACTACATGCCCAACTATTCCTTGAAACCATGGATTGACACCGTGGCGGATGGATTGGTTGCCGATTGGAACAAGGCTTACCCTTCAGAGAATCTACCAAGGAAGAAGTAAAGGCTTTGATTACCAACAAAATGTTTTTTGCACAAACCTCGTCCTATGGACAACACTACTGACTATGTGGAGAGTTGTTTTGAATGGCGCTACATGTCAAATGCGTGTTCATGCGTGTTACCCAAATAAAAATGATACAGGGGCAAGACCATATAAATGAACCAGCTTCACCAAGATCCCACGTTTAAAGTCGTTTTGTTGAGAGTGGCCCCTGTCAAAGCATAGCTGCCATGAATCCGGAGAAAGTTGTCAGATGCTGTTCTCGCTTGTCAGTGAATGAATATATATATATATCCCTGTAACATCAAGCTTGCTCAATCCAAACTGCAGGCCAATCCAGATGCATGCATCAGGGAGCATGACCGGATCATGTCAGTGAATGGTGTGCCACTTTACTGAAGTGCTGACAGACTTTTGCAATTCTGCTTGGCAGTTTGAGCATTTGTGCAAAGAAGGAGCATGGAGTGAAGTATGATTCAAATGTTCGAAAAGGTGGCTGTTAGCGATGTGTTTGCACTGAAACTGATGTCAAGTCATGAGGTCCAACCCTCCAGAGGAAGTGGTCTTGCAGATGAGGAAGCAAGATGGTGACCTTGAGATTGTGGTGTTGCACTATGTTCCATGAGAGATGACAGATAGAAGCTGCACCGCTCCGTCCTGAAGGGGAGAGCGGACGGGACGACGAATCTGGCGTCTGATAGGATTCTCCAGGCAATGCCCGCCGGATTTCTCCCAAAGGGGAGCGCATTAGTGGCATGCTTTGCATTGGCACATGCGAAGAGTATTTGGCTGGCTTTTGCATCGCCTTCTCAGCAGACCGTTTCACTTGCGGAGATGCTACGGGGCTTCTCTGCCCACCCTTGATGTCAAAGTGTTTTCCTTTCTCAACCTATGGGCAACAATATTGATATCTCAATATATATGCAATCAAAATGATTCCCAATTCAATTGGAATACTATTGTGTACCCCTTTTGGGAAAGGGAGATATTTGCCACGATGAACACTTATGAATTTCGAAATTCGGGAAACAAATATCATCAATCATTAATATATATATATAGTATTAAATATATAATTTCTATTGAATTAGAATAATTATTGATAAATTTGAATTTAAAGGATTGAAAGAAATATGCACGAAATAGACTAATTTTGATAATTAAAATAATATTAATATATTGATATTGAATTATTCGAATATATTTTAATATATATATATTTATATTAAATTAAATATATATTAATTAATATTGTAAATGATATTTATATAATATTGATTTCGATAATTAAAATAAAAAAATTGAATAGTTTATATAAATATATTAGTAATATTAAAAAAACATTAAATAAATATATTAAATTATATATTTTATATATTCGATTGCAAATTTACTATATTTAATTTTTAATTAAAGAACTTGCTATATTTATTGGTCGCGTCTTTGAATTTTGTGGTTGGTTTTTGATATGGAGGCTTTGTTTTCTTTTTGTTTTTTGTGGTTGGGATTTGTTTTGTATTATAGTATCAGGGTTTTGTTTTTTTTGTGATTGGATATTGTATTTCGATTTATTGGTTGTTTTTGTATTTAGGCCTTGATTCTTTTATTATTTGATTTTGCGGTTGGATTTTCTTATTTTTGTCTTGGTCGAATATTGGAATTCTGCGTTGGCTTTTGTGACCCGGTTTATTGGAGAGGAATATGATCGAACAAATAGCCATATTAATGCCGACCAACAAATCAAATAATATTGATCTAAACGAATCAGATTGAAATTATTTGGGCTATGGAATCTATATTTATATAATATAAAATAAATCTAAATTAATTTAGAGACCACTTTAAAATGATTGAATTTTAAAATGATAATTAATATTCTAAACCAATCTAAAATGTTTAAGGAAAGGATTTGTGGTTTTATTCTATTTGGGCGGAATTATATAGGATATCTTCCCCATTTGCTTAGGGAGAATTTTTTGGAATATATTCTAGAGGATTCTGTCCAATCAAATTAGGACCATAGATTCCTTTCCTCTAAAAATCTAGAATTATATGGAATATTATTCTAATTTTTGAGAATGATTTTATAATTGTTTTATTTCGATTGATCCCCACCTGGCATTCTATTTGGCATATCTTCTGGCATTTTGTCTAGCATATTATCTATCATTCTATCTGGCATATCTTCTGGCATTCTACCTGGCATATTTTCTGACATTCTATCTGGCAATGTATCTAGCAATCTATTTGAGATATTATTTGGCATATTATCTGGCATATCTTCTTGCAGCATTCTATCTCGCAAACTATCTGGTTGAGATCCAGCGGTGCACATTGCGATCGGATCCTTGCGGTTGAGGTCCAGCGGTGCACATTGCGATCGGATCCTTGCGGTTGAGGTCCAGGGGTGCACACTGCGATCGGATCCTTGCGGTTGAGGTCCAGGGGTGCACACTGCGATCGGATCCTTGCGGTTGAGGTCCAGGGATGCACACTGCGATCGGATCCTTGCGGTTGAGGTCCAGGTGTGCACATTGCGAGGGTATCCTTGCGGTTGAGGTCCAGGGGTGCATGCGGTTGAGGTCCAGGGGTGCACATTGCGATCAGATCCTTGCGGTTGAGGTCCAGGGATGCACATTGCGATCGGATCCTTGCGGTTGAGGTCCAGGGGTGCACACTGCGATCCGGAGCTTGCCAGACAAGATCGGCGAAGCAGATTGGCGAAGAAGATTGGCGATGAAGATTGGCGAGGAAGGAAGCAAGGAGGAAGGAGGAAGGAAGGAGGAGGAAGAACAATTGTGATAAAATCTAACAAACAGGTGGGGAAAAACACTCTAAATTGCTCCAAACCGTCCATGAAAATGCTCATTGATTGGCATTGTCATTAATTTCTGTGAATTTCTGTTCGTGGTATATCCCTTATCCATTCTAAATTTTTAGATGAAAGCGGTCTGTGGCAAATCAAAGGGGTCTATTAAGACGTTCCTGAATGTTGTGGTTAGCCCCGCTAAATAATATTCGCATTGAGTTTCGTCGACCTTTGCTTTTTGCGCACCACCGCACTTAGCCGCTCGGAAGTTTGATTTCGGAGCACTTCGCCTGACCATACGCCTTTTGCTTGCGTCCAGATGGGCCTTTGAGTCTCCCAGAAGAGTCCACGAGTTCGTGCGGCCCAATACGGGCGGACCTTGACTCGTCCGTTGGCAGCTGAATGAAAGAATTTTGAAGAAATTCGACGATATATGATATTGAGGATTGATATAGATTTGAATATTGACGTCCGCGCAATGTAACGAAGTCGAAAAAAACAAAAATCGCAATTATACATTTTTTTTGCGAACATATTTTTTTTGGGGCGGGTTTATATTTGATATTCGATTTTAGATTTAGCGGAAAGCAACCAACATATTTGGATGATTTTGGGATTCTGGTTTCGGCGCGATTTGATTTTCGAAATAATGTGATTATTTTTGAATTTTCGTTTTTGTGATACGGTTTCCGCCTTGGCTTATTATTGGAAATTTATATTGACATTTATTTTGTTTTAAAAAATAAATTGCAAATATTTGGAAAACCATTATAATATGATATTTGCAATTTTTTTTGAAATTCGAGACTTGGTTTCGGCGCACATTGTTTTATTCGTCGAAATAATTGGATTATTCTATTTTTTTATTTTATGGTTCGAAATGCGAGATTCGGGCATTGAAATCCGAAATCCAAATATCGGGAGATTCGAATTCTTAGATTCGAAATTCGATATTTGAGATTTGAAAATCGAAGTCCGAAATACATTATATTGGTGGATAATTCTATTTGCATATATCCTTCGATGCTAATCTAGGCGCCAATCATATTTGCGGTATAAACATTGTTCGCAAATAGAAAAGAAACAACGAGATGAAGATGATTAACGAATCATTGGATCCACAAAAATGAACCGCAAGAATCGAGCGTGGGACGCATAATATAGTAATAGATATAATAATTTGATTTATAATAAGTCATGGAGGGTGGACGCTCGAAGGCACTAAGATTTGAGAAGGCATTCGCCGCGTGGCGCCGAACAGAGGGTGTAGAAATGACGTCGAGGTCAATTTAACATAACGATGCATTTGTTTCCTCGATAATTATTTTCAATAAAGATCCTATTGGACCGCATCTTCCGAATTTATTCACTTATCTCCATCGTACCGACAATCGGCGGCTGCCCGAAATTGATCGGAATATTCCAGCAACGAACCGCGCCCCTGGACTTGGATGGATTGCCAGTGCGCCACCCTCCACAGCTCTAAGTAACAATCGCGCGATCCTAATCTAAATCTTGGTCAAAGATTATTGCATAGGTCAGAGCACCAGATATTCAGATCGCATGGCCGTAGGTTAAAATAGTCTTGTTTGTAGCATGAAAGTTATGGACCACCTCAATAATTTGTCCATTCATGCGGCTTATTGATTCCGTAGGCATATAAAAGAAGCACGGGAATTATTTTCTTTGGATATGTTCATGATTTCTAACTATTATATCGGCCTTTGCTCCGTTACGATATTTTTCTTGCGACTCTTCCAACCTGGAACTTCGGAATCTTCTATTCTCTTCCCCCGTAATCTTCCGCTGTTGGAAACAGCGGGCCAACTCTAAAATTTTATGTTTTGCAATTTGCAATTGAGCATTGATAGTGATTTGGCATTTATTTTGAGGTTCGATAGTGTTTATTGTGATTTCATTTTATTTTTGATATTTGATAATATATTGTGGTATTTAATATCGAGATTCTATATGTGGAATTGATATTTTATATATTGCAATTAAGAGAATATACAAAGGAAACATATTTTACATTAATATAGGTCTTAAGCAATATTATTGGAAAGAACTATTATTGTGAGTAGCCCTAATCCTTGTTGCAGGAAGGAATATATATAATGGGACAGCAACACGACAATAGAAACACAGGAGGCCACGAGGAGGACAATCAAGGACAAAAGGATGAGGGAAGGAAAACAATCCGAACGCAACAAGAGAAACCGGTAAACACCATATGTGCAATTAATTTCTCGCATTGGGCCCTTTGATTGGGTTACGTCTTCATGCGGCCGCATTCTCATTGGGACATCAATAAAAATGAGATCAAACCAATAATAAGAAGACAACGGAGGACAAAGAGATGATACATACTTGACTAACGCGGCCAAAAAACCACAGCAACAAGAAAAGGGCAAGAAGAAGACAAAAGGATGACAAAAGGATGATAAGAAGAGGGCA